ACCATATGTAGTACAAACGTCAATCAAACGTTTGTTAAGTATGGATGTAAATAATTTGCACATACAACTAATAAGACTGATACCTCGAAAATTATTAGGATCTGTTAAAGCGCCCTTTTTATGCACAGGTACAATGATTGCTTCGGACCAGTCAACTGGAAAACATCCAGATTGTAAAATATTGTTAAATAATACATGTAAAAAAGGTAACAACAACTGTTTACATTCGATAAAACATTCATTTAACAGACCATCTGGACCATGCGATTTATTCCGTTTCAGATTATTGATCGCCGTTGTAATGTCTCTATACGAAATAGGAGTATCTAACCCATCCAACATTACATTATCATCATTCTAATTATTTATAATTTCGTTATGTCCAAAGTCAACTCCAGAATTTGCTACATTTTTGAAATGCTCAAGTTATTGATTCATTGAAACTTTAGGTGGATTTGATTTATTCTTTGCAAACTTTTTATAAAAATATCTGGGATTATGTTTCCTCAAATACTCAATCATGTCACCCTCTACGCTAAAATATTGCTTCTTCAATTTAGGTTCCAACATTTTTTATTTTTTTTCTTTGTCATGAGCATTGCGTGATTTGTTGGATTTGCATTACTATTAAATACTCATAAGGCAGATAAATATTTTCTATGTAAACATTTAACTTCATCATTAAACCAGGGCTTGTCATCCCTAGTCTCTACAGTCAAACAGCTAACAATTTCAACATGGGTTTTCTTAGCACACTTATTTCTGAAAGAAAGGTTCCATTATTCGTGTATTACCTTAGTGACCTTCTTTACACTGGAGTCGATTGATTTCCGATTTTATTCCCCCCTAATCTGGACATGTTCCTTAAGCTTGTCAGAATTTATATTTAATGACTCTGTGAATTGATGTTTATATTCATCCTTCCATATATATTTCGGACTGTCCCTGCCGTTACAATTGCTTTCAACAGTATCATTAATTGTGGACACCCTTTTACCATATAACTGTACATGTAAAGGAGCATGATCAGAAAACTCTGTAAAATTACACACTGCAAATGTTTTCACAGTTGAGAACATAGAAAAATGCATTAACATATAGTCTATCACACTCATCCCATTTGATGCACAGAAAGTAAAATCATTTGATGATCCATCTATATCTCTACCATTTATGATTCGCAGACCAGAAGATTTACATAGCTTAATTAATCTAGCACCATAGTCATTCGTACCAAGATCTGGGTTTACCCTATTAGGTAAATTGTCATCAGCATCATCAATATAGTAGTTGAAAATAGATTCAATGTGGTTTCTGACACTCTCATGAATGGTATCGTAATCATCAGTTGTGCGTGTTCGAGCATTAAAATCACCTATAATCATCACATTCTTAGATTCAGAGTATTCTAACAAGATTGTCTCTAACTCATGAAAAATGTCACAGTTGTAATGTATATAGTATTGCGAGGAGCACGGAGGAACATAGGTAAAGATAACAGTAATGTCTTTATTCTGATCAAGTAGACATTTATCAATAGTCACGGGTATTATGGTATCAAAAAGAGAATTTCCAACAGAAACAAAGTTATAAATACTATCGCGGCGTATTAGCAAAATGTTTCCACCCCCTTGTGTATATCGAGTTAATTTTCTAGGCATAACAACAGACTTGAAAATTTCAATATCTACAGTGTAATCGTTCGGGATCCAACATTCGGATAAAAGTACTATGTCATAAGATAGAATGAATTTTCTGAAATCTAGTTAATTGAGCTTCTTATCAAAACCACCATTAATGTTCCAAGTTATTTTTTTTACATCCATCTCATGATAAGACAGTCCGGAGTGATTAGCATCACATGACTCCCTCCGACGCTCCTAGCTGGGAGTGGTAGTGTTCCTCCTTCTCCATTTGTCGGCACCACCTGACGTCGGCGTGGTTTCAAGCGCGTCACGATAAGATCGTCCGTGGTCGCCAGAATCAAAACCCTTGTCTTGTCACCTGAGTAGCGGCCATTGCCGGCGGCAGTACCTTCAGCAACCCCAACTGGTGCAGGAGCTGAAGTGTGAAGTTTACCATCTATGAATAGTTTATCGCGCACCAGCTGAGTGTTGCGACCGTTGGCCCTGGCCTGTTTCCTGATCGGGTATAAGTTACGACGTTCGTTCTCAATCTCGACAGGAAATTGTTCGTTGATACTATAAGGACTACCACGCAGTTTGAACGTCTGACTCTTAATATGTAAGAGGTCTTTGTAGTGAACAAAACGTGCCACCACAGGTCGCGGTTTACCATGCTTAGCCCTCCCAAAACGGTGAACATTTTCGAACTCAACGTTGTGTTCGACTCCTAGTTTTCCGTAAAGAAAATCCCGCAACACTGCCTCCGTGTTCTCCTCCTTGTGTTCCACGCGCAAACCGCTGAAAACCAAATCGTTTTTCATAGAACGGCTACGAAGAACGAGCATGTCCTCGTTTATTTTCCCTTTCTCCCTTGTCAGAGCGTCTATGTCCTTTTTCAAGGTTGATAACACAGCAGCAGTGTTGTTCTGGACGTCAACCATAGAAGCCTTGTTTGCGTCAACTTGTCTCTTTACCGAATCAAAAATATCGCTCACTGACAGAGCGCTCTTCTCAAAGTCACGCGACCTTGAATCAATGTCCTGAATCTTATTTGCGAGCTCACTGTTTTTGACTTACACATTTACCAGTTCGTGCTCTAATTGGTTGACCTTTACATATAGTGCAGACAAGGTACTATGATAGGGCCATCTAAGATATGTATGTGGAGATCTCTAGAAATAGAGGGATGTATTTACTGGCGTCGGACTCGTATCCTACTATATACTTGTACGGAGTCATTGTCTTTGTTTACTCCTGATACCAATCCGGCGGGGGACTTTGTTTGAGACCCTTTATTTCCTTTCTAGAGATTCTTGTCATTTCATTTATCATCATTTAGGAAGTGCAGTAAGAGCTACAGCTCATGATCCGACAACAAGAGGAGCTGAGGAAATAATAACACGAACTGAAGAGACAGTAACACAAACTGAGACAACATCTAGAACTGATACGACACCAACATGAACTGAAGTGACAGTAACACAAACCGAGAAAACATCTAGAACTGATACGACACCAACATGAACTGAAATGACAGTAACACAAACTGGGACAACATCTAGAACTGATACGACACCAACATGAACTGAAGTGGCAGTAACACAAACCGAGACAACATCTAGAACTGAGACGACACCAACATGAACTGAAGTGACAGTAACACAACCCGAGACAACATCTAGAACTGATACGACACCAACATGAACTGAAGTGAGAGTATCACAAACCGAGACAACATCTAGAACTGATACGACATCAACATGAACTGAAGTGACAGTAACACAAACTGGGACAACATCTAGAACTGATACGACACCAACATGAACTGAAGTGACAGTAACACAAACCGAGACAACATCTAGAACTGATACGACACCAACATGAACTGAAGTGACAGTAACACAAACTGGGACAACATCTAGAACTGATACGACACCAACATGAACTGAAGTGACAGTAACACAAACCGAGACAACATCTAGAACTGATACGACACCAACATGAACTGAAGTGACAGTAACACAAACCGAGACAACATCTAGAACTGATACGACACCAACATGAACTGAAGTGACAGTAACACAAACCGAGACAACATCTAGAACTGATACGACACCAACATGAACTGAAGTGACAGTAACACAAACCGAGACAACATCTAGAACTGATACGACACCAACATGAACTGAAGTGACAGTAACACAAACCGAGACAACATCTAGAACTGATACGACACCAACATGAACTGAAGTGACAGTAACACAAACCGAGACAACATCTAGAACTGATACGACACCAACATGAACTGAAGTGACAGTAACACAAACCGAGACAACATCTAGAACTGATACGACACCAACATGAACTGAAGTGACAGTAACACAAACCGAGACAACATCTAGAACTGATACGACACCAACATGGACTGAAGTGAAAAAAAAGCAACAAAAACAACAACAACAACAACAACAACAGACACTGAGGAGACAACAACTTGAACTAAGGAGACAAAAATACGGTTTGAGATGACATCGACGGTGGCCGAAGAGACAGAAACAGGAACTGAGGTGATTAAAACGAACCGAGGTACCATATCTTAGCATTAGTGTTGAAATCAGTGATTTCACGGAAACGTTTATTTGTGTTTAGTGTAAATTATCGTAAAAGCTACAGATTCTTAAAATATATGTTCTTCATTTATAATGGCAAAACATAATGGATTTTCAGAGTCAGTTAAAAAATTAGTTCATACACATTTTAATAAAGTTTGTAAAATTTCATTTTTTTTTGCAATTTTAAATTTTTGCAAAGAAGACATAATCTCGTCTTTTCTTGGTAAGGAGTGCTCACCAGAAATTTGCTTTCCGGATCTGAAATAGGATCTGAAAATGATTTTACCGGTAAAGGTAAAGTATAAGGCGGACACAATCTTGTGGCCTGTTAAGACCTTATGAAAATGTTTAAAACACATGAAGTTAGGAAAACAGTTAAGCTTTACCTGCTGAAGATATGCTTAGTACATTGGAATATTTGTTGATCTAGATATTTTTTCCGAAAAACAGAGTGCCCAATTTATTGACGTGGTTTGACACACTAACGTGAAAATAGAAATCCCCCAAAAAGAAGTCATATTTATTTCATTGTTCACATAGGTAAGTTATATACACTGAGAAATTAAACTTTTTACCTGTTCTTCCGGATACAGCAGGGATGCACAGTGCACAGTGTGAAAATGTGCATTACTTAACTTAACGCCTGAGGCACATACATCATTGCTCTTTTAAATTATTTATATGTTACTTATTCAGTTTGCATTCATATGACTTTTTATTCATGAATTTCCATGTAATACGTTGATGCGTTTCTGAGATTAACAATATGTAAATTACCTGAGAATGTATTAACCTGGTTCGATACCAGACTCATAGTGAGCTTAAGAATTAGTATCACTGACGTAATATTTGAGGTTGAAGCGGAAACGGGTTCGATGTTTTCAAGACATTAATAATGTTGTGTTTGTTGATGAATATGCTATGTCAGACCGTCTAACTTTATGGTCAGTCCGGTCGATGTTTCTCAGACAGGCTCCTAGACATAGAGGATTATAGAATTAACATGTGCTTACACCATCCACAAGCTGCTGACGACCAGTAAGGTAATTTCTCGTTTTGTTGTAGCTTAAGTTGTAAATTTGTTAAATTTCATATGGTTTTATCGATACGTTTTCCTTTTAACTGCATTTAACATTATGTTTCGTAACGCTTTTGATATAAATAGTTAATATTTCACTTTTTTACCCACTTATGAATCCCAAATAGACGAAATGATGCACTTAAATGTTTATTTTTTTGCCTTCTGCATTTTATCTCTCCAAGGGTACATGGATACTGTCAATGCCCTGTCCACGAGGACATGGGTACTGTAAATGCCCTGTCAACGAATACATGGAAACTGTCAATGCCCTGTCTACGAGTTAATGGGTACTGTCGATGCCCTGTCCATGAGTACATGGGTACTGTCGATGCCATGTCCACGAGGACATGGGTACTGTCAATGTCCTGTCCACGAGGACATGGATACTGTCAATGCCCTGTCTACGAGTTAATGGGTACTGTCAACGCCCTGTCTACGAGTTAATAGGTACTGTCGATGTCCTGTCCACGATGACATTGGTACTGTCAATGTCCTGTCTACGAGTTAATGGGTACTGTCAATGTCCTGTCTACGAGTTAATGGGTACTGTCAATGCCCTGTCTACGAAGCCATGGGTACTGTCGATGCCCTGTCTACGAGTTAATGGGTACTGTCAATGTCCTGTCTACGAGTTAATGGGTACTGTCAATGTCCTGTCTACGAGTTAATGGGTACTGTCAATGCCCTGTTTACGAGTTAATGGGTACTGTCAATGTCCTGTCCGGTAGAACATTGGTACTGTCAATTTCCTGCCTACGAGTTAATGGATACTGTCAATGTCCTGTCCACGAGGACATGGGTACTGTAAATGCCCTGTCTATGAGTTAATGGGTACTGTCAATGTCTTGTCCACGAGTTATTGGGTACTGTCAATGTCTTGTCCACGAGTTAATGCGTACTGTCAATGTCCTGTCTACGAGGCCATGGGTACTGTCAATGCCCTGTCCAAACACACAGCAGGTTTATGTACAAGTTCGAGTTTATTTGCGCATGGCGAGTTTTTCCGACATCATGAACTTGATCTTAAAATTAAAAAAATAATTTGAAATGACCAATATCTGTATAGTTATTGAAATTAAAAGATAAAGATATATAAGAAACAGGTTTATTTAATTATCATTTTACGGCAATTTCTAATTTTTTTTACCAGTGACCTCATTTTTTAATGTTCTCAATATTGTCTCAATATTTTACCCGTTAAACCCGTTATTTACCCCTTGTACAGTAAAGTTAAACCCTTTATTTACCGATTGTAGTGTAAAGTTAAACCCGTTATTTACCACTTGTACAGTAAAGTTAAACCCTTTATTTACCCCTTGTACAGTAAAGTTAAACCCGTTATTAACCCCTTGTACAGTAAAGTTAAACCCTTTATTTACCCCTTGTACTGTAAAGTTAAACCCGTTATTTACCCCTTGTACAGTAAAGTTATACCCGTTATTTACCCCTTGTACAATAAAGTTAAACCCGTTATTTCCCCCTTGTACAGTAAAGTTAAACCCTTTATTTACCGATTGTAGTGTAAAGTTAAACCCGTTATTTACCCCTTATACAGTAAAGTTAAACCCTTTATTTACCCCATGTACAGTAAAGTTAAACCCGTTATTTACACCTTGTACAGTAAAGTTAAACACGTTATTTACCCCTTGTACAGTAAAGTTATACCCGTTATTTACCCCTTGTACAATAAAGTTAAACCCTTTATTTACCCCTTGTACAGTAAAGTTAATCCCTTTATTAACCCCTTGTACAGTAAAGTTAAACCCTTTATTTACCGATTGTAGTGTAAAGTTAAACCCGTTATTTACCCCTTATACAGTAAAGTTAAACCCTTTATTTACCCCTTGTACTGTAAAGTTAAACCAGTTATTTACCCCTTGTAAAGTAAAGTTAAACCCGTTATTTACCCCTTATACAGTAAAGTTAAACCCTTTATTTACCCCTTGTACAGTAAAGTTTAACCCGTTATTTACCCCTTGTACAGTAAAGATAAACCCGTTATTTAACCCCTGTACAGTAAAGTTAAACCCGTTATTTACACCTTGTACAGTAAAGTTAAACACGTTATTTACCCCTTGTACAGTAAAGTTAAACACGTTATTTACCCCTTGTACAGTAAAGTTATACCCGTTATTTACCCCTTGTACAATAAAGTTAAACCCTTTATTTACCCCTTGTACAATAAAGTTTAACCCGTTATATACCCCTTGTACAGTAAAGTTAAACCCCTGATTTACCCCTTGTACAGTAAAGTTAAACCTGTTATTAACCCCTTGTACACTAAAGTTAAACCCGTTATTTACCCCTTGTACCGTAAAGTTAAACCCGTTATTTACCCCTTGGACAGTAAAGTTAAACCCGTTATTTACCCCGGGTACAGGAAAGGTAAACCCTTTATTAACCCCTTGTACAATAAAGTTAAACCCGTTATTTCCCCCTTGTACAGTAAAGTTAAACCCTTTATTAACCCCATGTACAATAAAGTTAAACCCGTTATTTACCCCTTGTAAAGTAAAGTTAAACCCGTTATTTACCCCTTCTACAGCAAAGTTAAACCCGTTATTTACCCCTTGTACCGTAAAGTTAAACCCGTTATTTACCCCTTGTACGGTAATGTTTAACCCGATATTTACCCCTTGTACTGTAAAGTTAAACCCGTTATTTACCCCTTGTACAGTAAAGTTAAACCCGTTATTTACCCCTGGTACAGTAAAGTTAAACCCTTTATTAACCCCTTGTACAATAAAGTTAAACCCGTTATTTACCCCTGGTACAGTAAAGTTAAACCCTTTATTAACCCCTTGTACAATAAAGTTAAACCCGTCATTTACCCCTTGTACAGTAAAGTTAAACCCTTTATTTACTCCTTGTAGAGTTAAGTTTAACCCTCTAATAACTCCTTGTAAAGTAATGTTTAACTCTCTATCAACTCCCTGTAAAAATATACAAAAACTTGAACTTGAACTTGAACTTAATAAAAATGACAACAATTAGGTAGAAATTTAAGGGGAATTATGTCCATGGATACGCTCCATCGACAATAACACTGCAGTTGATATTCGTTGGTACACAATGTACTATCGGCTCACAGGTTATCTAACGTCACTGTACCCAAATCAGGACACTTTTTAGTTAAATATCAACGTTCTTTATTCAATACTATACTATCAGTTCCAAAAATGTTTGTTCATTTTACTTAAAAAGATAGTATCCACTTTACATTTTTATCACAATTTAATATTTCGGGAGCGTGGTTGTAAAAAAAGAACGCGAAATACCATCAGATTTACGTAGGCCGTTGAACCGGCGTAACTGTACCCTGGAAGGGACACTTCCGTTATTTTGGCTAATATTTGGGTATAAATGAACAATATCGGCAGAAAATATGCATAGATGAAATATGTTAGAGACAACGAGGGTTCTGATTAAATTTCTTCTCCAAACTCTCATTAGTTTTGATAGAATAGACTTTTGAAAATGACACCCAAATAAATAGCGTCTCAAGGTACGTAAATCAGGAAAGGCTTGTTTTCGAAATTATTCTTACCTTTAAATTGTTCAAGCTTAATACAGTTTAAATGTCATGAAAATATTTTCAAATAAAACTGTATACATAAAAGTACTTCTTTGCATTAAATGATATTTTTTTTGGCCGATTGCACACTTACTTTTATTATAAAATAAAATGTTATCGTTTTCGTGCACATCATGTATATAATTTACAAATATACTTAAGCAGGTATGTAAGTTATTTAACTGAATGAGTTGTCGAATCTTGCACCGTTCTATGATATTACTTCTCAGTGCATCGACCGGTAGGGACAGCTTTCAAGCATGTGTAATAATACTCATTTTGCCCTCTTGTTTTCATATATACCATTATAGTTCACGAAAAGGTGGATAAGTACATATTAAACAAAACGTCCAGGTCATGACACATGGTTTGACAAATGAACATGCAATGTAAATTTTACATTTTCATATACGTGTATGCGTAATCGTAAGTTGACAATGCGCGCAAAAAAACAAGTCTCCGAAAAGATACCATGTTGTACACTGTGACACGCTGAAACAACCGTTCGGTTTGTAGGCGTGTTCTTTTTGACACTTTGTTGACGCCGTAACGATTCTAATTGTAACAACGTGTATGTAAGTTATGTAACACATAATTATACAATAACAACGTGTATGTTAGTTATGTAACACATAAATATACAATAACAACGTGTATGTTAGTTATGTAACACATAA